ATCACATGTATTGCAAGGGGCAGTTAATACGTACATTTATTTTCGAAAGGCGAATGCCCCAATGGGCGAAGAAGGCGTATTCAAATGTAGAACACTAAACTGAAAGAAGACGTGCACAGGACTTTCATTACAGATTTTGTGTTTCTATTAAGAAAGTGTTAATAGGTAGGTTTTACAGAGTAGACGACATTCTCAGAGCTTCTATTTCCTTACACACACTCATTCCGACCCGAACGTTATCGATCGATCGATCGGAGTTTGATACCCTTTATTGGGTCAAGGAATCTCTTAAGATTTATTCCTATTTTATATTATGATAGCTGGCTCTCAGCCATAACCTATTCATCTTTTTCCCTCGTTCCAATTCTCCCATACATAAAGTGATTTACCAAGCGTATTTTAGTTGTGACACAAAGCCGCATTTATGGAACACCCAGTGAGGATAGAATTCACTGTACAGTCGTAGTTAATCCAGCGAGACAATCTTACTAACCGTTACACGACAACGAAGTAGAAAGTAATTTTCTAAGCGTAGCTAAGATGCGACACAAGGCAGAAAGTTTGGAGCATCCAGTAAAAATCAAAACCACTATTCTGTCGCAATTGATGTAGCGAGGCATGGTTGGCAATCATGACACAACGTCAAAGTGGCCTAATGGTTTTCTAAGCGTAGCTTAGATGTGGCACAGTGCCGAATGTATGGGGCACCCAGTGAGGGTCGAACTCACCAGTCACTTGTAATTTATCTAGCGAGACAACTTTGCTGGCCATTGCAACATTTCCAAGCCCACATTAAAATTATTTCCTAAACACAGCTTAGATGCGGCAAAGTGTTAAGCCCCCCATTAGGATCGAACTCAGTAGTCATTTGTAACTGATCGAGCAAGAGAAAATTACTAAGCATTACACCACATCAAAGCGCGCAAAAGTGTTTTTCTAAACGTAGCTTAGATTCGGCAGAAGGTGGAAATTGTAGAACAGCCAGCGAGGATCGAGCACACCATTCCGTTAAAATGCCCATTCTTCCTTGTATATGTATGTATCTATGCATGTATGTATGGGCCGAGTGGTTAGAACGTTCGTATTCAGACCCTGAGACCCGGGTTCGAATCTCTATGGTTGATTTGTTAGGAAGGAGACTTCCTGATTTTATCGGTCCGGGGGGTGGACGATCCCAGCGTGCGGCACTTTTTGAAAGTAACTGAGAATCCAAGCCTTGTAAGTGAAATTGGTTAGAGCAAACCCTTGGGGGCCGTCGATATCTGTACGAGCACAAAGTCATAAGTCATCGTGGCTGAGGGCTTGAGCGTGCTGGCCTTGTTCAAATTCTTGATCACGCTAGATAACGCACTCTACCAGAAACTGTAACTAAAGTCTGCCCAGCATAGTTGCAATATAAACCACAGGTGCGCTCTGTTTGCGTTGAACAAACACAAGGAGACCGGTATCCCCGAATACGAATAGTCAGTTGTTATTATATATGTATGTATGTGTGTGTGTGTGTGTGTGTGTGTGTGTGTGTTTGTTTGAAGTAAGACGTGAAAGATTTTAGCGCGTTTAAAACAAAAACAATGATAATAATGATAAATAGACTAATAATAGTTATTGGATATTATTATTATGCCATTAGACCAAATTGAGAGATAACGAGAAGAGATCACTATTAGTCTTTTAGAAGATTTCTAGAAGGCTTTCTCTGGAAACTGTATTCATTTAGGGTCCTTAAATTCCTATTTAAAATCCCGGCAAAAACTACAATAAAATTTCATTATCCTAGTATTTAGTATTGTTGTAGTTATCGCTAATATTTTTTTAATCTAGATTTAAAAACTCTACTTTTCGTGCGATTTCGTAATGCAATCGATGAAATTTGAATAAACTGATTTGTTTGGAAAATATTTTGACAAAAACCTTCCTTCTTGGTTTAATAATTTCTTTAATTAAATTTAATTTTATCGGAATTCATGGGAAACAATAATTTTAAGAATTTTTTTTTTCCTTTTTAACAGCAAAAATTAAATTACTTTGATTTCATCCTCTTGAGCATGCAACATACAACTGGCCATGCGTAAATATTTCTTTCTGAAACCAAATTCCAACTTTTGAAGCGTTTCGCCTTGTGATTTATTTATAGTTCCCGCAACTGGAAAATGGATAATTGTATAAAAAACTTAAAAACAAAACAAAAAAAAAGAACAGTATTACATTTTTATTAAACAAATATTTGTTATTTTAATCATTAAATTATTTTTTAAAAAGTGGGAACTGATCTGCTTGACCCTCATACGTCGATTTCGACGGGAGAGTTGATATATATATATATATATATATATATATATATATATATATATATATATATATATATATATATATATATGTATGTATGTATATATATATATATATATCATACGGCCATAACTTGCACAAAGAAGGCAGAAAACACGATTTCTCAAAATTCGTTTTGGAAAAATTGTGGCCATATTTGCACTAATTTTTGACG